CCTCCTCCTCCGCCGCCGCCACTGGCAGTAGAATTTTTTAAAAATGCTTTCCAAGCACAAACCTTGTTCTGAATAACATAATAGGTTCCAAGATCAAGAATCCTACTCTTCCCAAATCTATTTTTAATATGTGGACTCCAAGCTAAGGAATCTATGGCACATAAATAATGATAATTTGATGGCAATATTGCGTCACCAACTGGATTTTTTTTCTGCAACCTTAACTGATGTTTCTTCCCAAGTTAAGTACTGAGCTAATGCCATTGTTCTTCTGAGTCGCTAACCCTTTGTCATTTCAGAGACGACTACGCGTACATACTAAAGATCATACAATGCAAAGTAGAACAGTAAGATGTAACTATAACACCTCTTGCCCGCCAAGCAGAGAAAATCAATCATCAGTTTAGTGCTCGATTGCTCCATTTATTGTTGAAATCCAAGCACGAGCAAAATGGAGTGCTGCCACTCCAGAAGCATATTAGAAAAGGAGTTGTGGCATTGAATCACAAGAAGGGTCCTTGAAAACCTTTTTATCCTGCAACTGGATAAAGATATCAGTTTCTGATGGCAGACTCTGGTAAATCATGTTCATGTGTTCTCTTGCTCACATTTCTCAAGAAAGACCTATGTTCAGAATATAGGTGATTTGGCCTAGTTTAAAACTGCTGGGTTCATGTTCAGAGTCTAAACTTCTGTCTGCTATTTTGCATATTTTCTGTGATGGAGTCATTAAAGCAAGGGAGGCAATCTGTAGCCTCAACATCTTTATTGTGACCCCCAAAGCCCTCTCAGGCCATAATTGCTAAACACTGGTGGTGGTTTTGAAATGGGAAACCCTTTAATAGGTTTAACTCCATAAAAGAAAAAGAAAAAAAAAAGATCCTTTCTTAGAAACTAAAGGAAAACAAAAATGGAAATTGTAGTTACAGGTGCTGATCCCTTATCCACTTTGCATGATTGCCCTTACTCCCTGTAAACCTCTTCAATAAATAAATTAGGTCCTCAGCCTTTGGGTTGCCCACCAGTGATTTCATTATCAGCCATAGTCTAAAAGGCAAGGTAAACATCCTATATATGTAATATAATATTTCTGTTGGAATGTTTTCTCTACACCTAAGAGCTAAAAGTGGGGACAGTGAGGACAGCACAACTCTAACATCTTCATATATGATGCCAACTGCCACTCTTCCTTTCATCTTTGTTGGTTTAAGCTAGAAATGATCTTCCATAAATGTTTGTGGATATATGGGATTAGAAGCAAGGCTCCCCATTACACAGAGTTTTCTGAATATATTCACCCAAATGCATAGAAGGTCTCTTCACACCTTCAGGCTAAACATACAATGACTAAGATATGCATTGCCAGGGGCTGGGTTGGGAGATAGCTGTATAGATTAAAAAATCATAGAATTGGAAAAGGCTACTGAAGGCCATGAGTCCAAATATTTGCTCAGTCCAGGAATTTAAATTAAAGCATCCTTGGCTGATGGCTGTCTATTCTTAGCTTTAACGTGTCTAATGAAGAAAAGGCCATCACTGCTTTAGGTAACTGTTCCACTGTCAACTCCTTTCACTTAATCTTAAATTACCTCCTGTAATTTAAAACCATTTTTCTGTTTCTTGAACAACAGGTCATTCTTTGTGTGACAGCCATTCTACTACAGTATTTGGAAAGTCCTATCATATTCCCTAGCAGTCATTTCTCATGGATATGCCTTGTTCCCTTAGTTTGTCTTTCTAAGACTAAGTTTTCTTAGTTCATTTTTGTTACCCATCTCTGCACTGGTCAATTTCTCTAAGTCTTAGAACGTGGTGCACAGAACTGGACACAGTACATGAGATGGAGTCTGTCCAAAACAAAATAAAGTAGAACTACTGTTTCCCATGATTCAGAAATTCATACTAAAACTGCATTTGCCTTTTTTGCAGTGATATTAGACTGCTTGCAATCAACCACTATTCCAAGATCTGTTTCACAAGTATATTTCATTATCTAGTCATGGCAGCTCTCCCCCTCCCCCTCAATCCTACTGTGCCTTTAATTTTTGTTTCCTAAGTGAAACACGTTGCATTTGTCTCTATTAAGTTTCATGCTTTTATTTTCAGCTAATTTCTCTAATCTAACCTTTCTTTCTGTATTCTGTTCAAGCTACCCCACATAGTTTCATGCCAGCTACAAATATGTTTTTTATTTATTTTATTTTTTATTTTATTTATTAGATTTCTCTCTATGTTAAGCATTCCCTCCACCATTCATCTGGATTACTAATGACAATGGGGAGGAGATGATTAAACCATAGTCACTTAACTTACCTGATGTTGTTGGAACCACTTCAGTTGTATTTCTAAGTCCAACAAATGAGAACTGATAGAGCCTCCAGGATCTAGTATCTCCCACTTCCACTGAACTGCGTTTCCACATGTAGATTATTTCTTCCTTTGGGTAGCCATCTTCAAAGCAAGGAAAATCAGGATTCCATCAATATTTTCTTTTATGTGCTAGTACTTTCCTATTTATATGTGGATCTCAATGATACTATAGATGCACTTGTATGAATTGCAGCCCTCTTGCAATACAGTGATTATTGAACTCATTTAAAACACAAAGCAACAAGAACTTTAGAAAGAGATTTTACAGTTACAAACCAACATGGAAAACATGACTATGTCACATCTCTGTCAGGTTCCACTATATCAAATTGTAAATATACTTTTTCTAAAGATGAAACTTGGCAGATTCACTGGCAGCTCACCCCCACCCCACCTGCCTTTCAATAATGGCTTTCTAAATGTAAAAAGTACACAGGAAAGTGATGGATTTTATCAGGAACATGTATGCTGATGTGCATGCCAATCTGTAAAGATCAACTGCTCTGCTACATATCTGAGAGATCCTCTACTAAATGCATTAATAACTAAAACATAAAATGTGCACTTATGTATGCTTTGCTTTGGAGAAACAGATCTTGTGGTGCTCTGGACACAGCACTGAATTTTGCAGTGAGGAGTTCTAGATGCTATTCCCCAGTTAGCTGTGAAGTTTAGTGAGTTGGCCTCACTATCCTCATTCAATTCACTTCACTGACTGTTACATGATGATAAAATAGGAGAAACCCAAGACTTGCCTAAGACATTTCACTCTCTGTACAAAAGCCATCTAAAACTTTCAGTATGAATGACAGAAAAGCTTCATCCATAATGGATGAAGAAAGCAGATGAGTTTAGAGAACAGAGGACAAGGGCTACATAGACCACCACCACCTGAGAGATGCTCTTCATTCCATTCACTTCATTAATTACAAGGTCAACTCTGTTTAATTCTATGCATCATAACCTCACATATTTCTGAGCACAGAGGAAGGTTGGAACACAAATGTGATGAATATACGTATACACGTATGAGTTCTGGCTTGCTAGCTTACTTTTTGGCAACAACATTTCTGCTTAATTTGGACTCCCAACAGTATTTAGTAACCTCACATTCACATAACCACACATAGCTATTGTTTAGAAATAGCTACAGTAACGTATAGACAAATGCACCAGGTTTCTCATGAAAACCAGGAGAAATAGATACCATGTGTCCATCTGTACAATAATTTGTGTTAATTTTAGCACTGATTGTTGCTGCTCATTGAAACAAAAACATACTATGTATTTCATTGTCAGCTTTATCTGATTACTCTATGATCAAGCTTTTTATTTATTTTTTTAATTCTTCTTTCTTTCATCAGGATAATCCCATTGTTCTTTCTTGATTACTTACAGCTTGAAAATGCCAGGGGACAAGAATGCTCGTCCATGGGGAAATTGTGTAACTGTAATTGACACTCTGCATCTATTGTCAGTCTGAAAAGAAACAAAGACAGATATTATTTCTATCTGCAATGTTCTCAGCCTACCAATTCTTACTGTAACTATGACAATAGTCAATATGTGTTCACGTACAACACAATTCCTGTATTTACTTGTTGCAAACCTTTTAGGGCTGTGAGTCTGTACTGCTCTGCAGATGTACAGGAATTGGCAATATTATTATGGCTATTTAGAACAATCACAACAGCTCCAAACCAAAACCCCAGATCCTTTATTTTCCAGTTATTTCTACTGAGATTTGCTTCTCTGCTCACAGTGCTGCAAGCAGTCTTCAGATAGCTGCAGATCATGTGCTCTCGTGACCTCTGTTATACGTAGAGTTCACAGGACTTAGTTCCTGTGAAGCAATGAGAGAAGGGAGATGGGGACACGCCAAGATAGCAGAGAACACCCCCTTTAAAAATTCATCTTTTATTCTTCTGATAAGTTGTTTTCATGCTGAGATAACACAAATTGGGGCGGGGGGAGTGGCTTGAGAGGAGGAGATGCTTTCAGGACTTATTCACTCATTTATCTTCATTACATAGCAGTGCATTGGTTGACATCATTTTATTCTCCTTAAAGTGGGGCCAGTTTGAGAAATGGCAAGTGCCTTGTTGCACGCTCTGATTTTAAAGATCTAACTATTCTATCATATTAGTTCTGCTCTAGCAATGAAAATGCTCACTTCATTTTGACTGAAATACTCAAGACTTCATATAGTCACCAAGTATAATACCTTCTTGATTCACATTGGGCACATTGAATAAGTATTGCACACTAGACAAAATGGAACTAGGAAAATACCTGAGAGTATAGAGTACCCTGCCATCATTCCAGATCCTGAGCATTCGATTTGGTGTTGTTATCCAGTGAGCATCTGCTTTTTTTGAGTTTCGAAAGAATGTATCAGGAATCCAGATCTTCCCAACCATGTTGCTATTCAACCTCAGAACTTTTATGGTGCTGTTGAATCTTAGCCGTCTGTCATACCAGGTTTGGGCAAAGAATATATCAATTGTATATTCCTGCAGTAATAACAGAATGTGTTAAGGGAAGCTCTGAAAGATCTGAGTCAGGTCTTTAACAAATATTTACAGAATTACTTCTTAAAACTTTGATGGCCCTTTTGTTGGGAAGGAGAAACCAGCCACCTCAGTAGCTTGATCTACCATAGAACCAGACTCTGAATTTAAGTTCGTCTTTCTGCATCTTTTTTGTCCCATACCTGAAATGTTACATAATTTAACATTTAATAACATTTTCCTACCTTTCCTAAGCACATGATTGGGCTATAAATCTTGAACTGCATTATTTGTATGTAGCCCACCCACTATGAACTGATACTTAGTAAATGCACCACCTATTATGTAATTATCCTCATACATTTGTATATGAATATGCCTATATGATATATCATATAAACTAGCTTTCCCTTGCCTCACTCTGCACCTCCCATGAATCTATACAATCTGTTCTATGGGTCAAACAATCCTGAAAGATTCAGGTTGCGCAAGAAGAGTTATGCAGGTAGAGCAGGAAAAGTCTATTCTTAAATTGTGTCTATTCACAAATGGTTAAAAAAAACCCTCATCTAAATTTACAGAACCAACCAAACTTCATCTTGCTTTTAACCAAGTTGATTTCAGAATAGAATTAATTAAAGGACACTTCACTTCCACCAACTTCCCATTCAGTCTCCAGAAGCACAGTCTGCTCCATTCAGCAAACTCTCCCATGTTGAGACAGAGGCAAGAAAGATAACTTCTACCCATTCTTTTCTGAAAATGTGTCTAAGGCAGTGGGTATATGTTAATATATAATTATTAACATAATACATATGTTAATATATATTATTACTATATAATAATGATTACCAGAATTCACTAATGATAAACAATCTTCAATAAATTCTGACAAAAATCTATGAAGAGCTATTACATACCATATTGATAGCATTCACTGGACCAATGCTATTGACATACATATCAGTGTGAATTACTGTTGGTTGCACTGTAACAGAAACAGTAAGAGTAAGACTGTAATCTAAATTAAACACAATAATTCCAACAATAACTGATGATGTTAGCCATTCAAAATATAAAGTAATGAATAAGCAGCCAACACTCCATTGAATGTTTTACAAAAGCTGTATTATTTCAAGAAAGGAAAAACTATATAATAATGCCAAGAAGAAAGGACTTTGTCTTTCAAATAGGACTGACCTCTCTCATCACCCTGGAATCACAACTTTGAGAATCTGTTCTAAATAATTACATTTATCTAAAATTAGATCAAAACCCTTGAGAAATGCAGTGGTTTTAGAATGTAAGATTGATAGAAAAAATATTTCACATAAACAATGGCATTTCTTGATAATAAAAGGTTGGCAATTTGATAAAAGTTGATAATTTATAAAATTATTTGTAATTGTACTAATAATTATGTTCAATTTATAATAAATTTATAATAAATGTTTACTTTAGACATTTATTTATAAATTTATATATTTATAATTCTATTTATTTTATAATTTTATAAAATGTGATAATTTTATAATAAAAGACTGGTAATCTGGTTCTGATTGCTTTACTCACAGAACTGACAACATAAGAGGAAACAGTTTGATATCCCTCTTGAACATACATGGTAAAAATAAAAGTACTTGGAGACATTTTTCCCTTATTTAATTTTTTAATATTGTCAGTATGGTACACAGTTAGACACTGTAAATGCTTTAATAGTTAAGAGGCTTTCACTGAAATCCTAAACTCACTGGTCAGATTTCTGCTTAAACTTAATGTAACACAGCTTCATACTGAACTAAAGCATCATACTGAACTAAAAAGGCAACTGTATATATAAAATGTTGAGACAAATTTAATCCATAAACCACAGTTATGCACTTGAAGTTTAGTTAAAATGGAATCAATAGAAGTTAATTCCTCCTTAGGTGTTTTAAGTCCTACTATTTTTGAAACAATTAAAACTAAGAAAAATCTCTATTTTCCTCTGCTTTGTCTAAACAAGCTGTCTATCCAGAAAACCCAGAATATTATTCTGCCATGGCTCTGGCTTTGCTGATTCCTATGAGATGCAGCTGGCCTTTCCTTCTCCTCTGCCTGGATAAGTCAGCTTGTCCAGGCAGAGGAGAAAATAATCTGAATTTTTGGCTTACTTGCACAGTAATGTGTGTGATATTAACAACCAGGTCTCATGAACCATACTGCTATATGACAGGTGTGAATAAGAGCCACTAATACCACTATAGCAAACAACATTAAAATGAAAAAAATATATATAGCAATAATGAGTGAAATAGAGCAATGCAATATTTGCTAGACAAATATACTACAGTTGTTGCAAATCATTCTTCCCCACTACAAATGCTAACATCCAAGTTGCTTAAAACAGTCCTAGGAAAGGAATGAAACTGACAACCACACCTAAAAAATTAATTTCAACTTTTTCAGAAAGAAAGAAGAGAAAATACAGAGTTGGAATATGTGAAATACTACATTTTTCTATCAGCAAATACAGTATGAACATTGTAAAATAATGTAAATTAGTTTCTGCACTAAAGAAGTGTGATGGATTTTCATTCCATCTGCATTACTGCATAATTAATTATTATAATTAGGATTAATAATTAGGAGTAATCCTAGTTAAACTAAATAATTAGAAGTAATAATCCTAGTTAAACTAAAATCTAATTTGTCTGGATTTACATTAGAAGATAATATTGTGTTTCTAAAATCTGTTGTAATCAATCACCTTATCCATTAACTTTCAATAACAGATTTCAGTTCTGATTCACTTCTACTTGCTTTTCTCAAAAAACTTGTGAAACTGGGGCATTCTATTCTCTGCTGATCTCATTAACACAGCATGACTCTCTCATTGATACCAAGGAAAAGAGATACCATCAGGAGAAACAGCCACCTCATATTCACCATCTCTTCTCTAGTGTAACACTGTATGGCACATTTTCCACTAAACATGAACTAACTGGTCTCATCTTCTAAGTTCTGGACAAACCTTCAATCTATTTTCCTCCCTCAAGTGGCTTTTTCTTATTCTAGGATGGATTTTCTATAAAAATGTGAAGAGAACTATTTTCTCGTCTAGTCACAGCAATCACTTCTTGACACTGAATTAAGGTAACTCAGCCATAAATAAAAAAGTCTTCTTTGACCAACCTGTTGTTTTCTTCTATACATAGTCCCATATTGCAGTTCTGGTTCCTCAGCCATCGTTCTTCTCACCCAGTTCCTGAATCCATGTTCCTCATAATCCCATCATTACAATCAATTATTTATTTTATTAACTTTAATGAGTAGACCCTGCTTTAACTGAGAGAAATCCTGAGTTTGAGAGCTGATTCTGCTAGAGATTACCCAAGCAGGTTCATGTTCAGTTCTTACTGTAAAAAACCTGCTCCCAAATCTTCCACTAGCAAAAGACATCCAATAAGGGGGAAAAAAACCTCTAGTTGTGGCTTTTTTTACAGTTTTTAATTATGTCATTAGGAAACTGTATAGAGACTCAGTAACAGTACAACACCAGTGTTTCTCAAGCTTGGCAGCTTGAAGATGTGTGAACTTCAACTCCCAGAATTCCCCAGCCAGCAAGGCTGGCTGAGGAATTCTGGCAGTTGAAGTCCACACATCTTCAAGCTGCCAAGCTTGAGAAACACTGGTATAACAAAGATACAATCATAATACTGTATTAAGCAATACAAAACTATTCATCTCAATCAGAATGAATCCTCGGTGTCCAAAAGGGACACTTGCTCTGAATTCAGTCTTCTGTCATACACAACAGCCTGAACAGTCTCCTTAAGGGCACCATCCATTCCAAGACTGCAGTACATATTTAAATAGCCCAGCTCTCTCCCCTCCCTTGGCAAAAAAGCTCACTGTAATTGTCTGCATAGAGTCCCAGGTAGGAATTTTCTCATTCTTTTCCTGGATTCCTCCTTCTGGACCAGAACTCCAAACTGCTTCTCCAGCTTCTCCTTTTGGCCCTCCAAACCAGAGTTTATCACCATCCAAATCATTGGATTGATTATGTGCCATCAAGTTGCTGTCGACTCCTAGAGACTAAGACAATATTTCCCTAACCTGATCCTTCAGGTCTTCTACTGGTGCACCCATTGGTCTGTCTACTTTGCTGCTGGTTGTCCTCTTTTTCTCTTTCTTCCTATCTTTCCCAGTATTATGGACACAATGTGAAGTTACTTTCTGCCCCTGTTCTTGTCTGCTATCTACAAGGACAGAACAACTGCTGTCTATAAGGAAAGCAATAGTGTCAGAGAGGAGGAAACAAATTTGTTCAAGGTGCTAACTCCCTTACATTGCTATGGGGATGTTTGTGATTAGGAGTTTACAATCAGCCTAGTTCACACCAGCTTCAAGGGTGCTGCACATTACTTTATGTTTCAATTTTATTAAGGCGATTCCATTCATCTGAGGCCTCTAAAAACTTGCTTCTTTCAACCAAAGATATATTTTCCTCACAGCAGGATAAAAAAAAAATCTGAAAAAAGAAGTATAGACACATCCTGACATCTAAATAAGCAATAGTGTCAGAGAGGAGGAAACAAAGTTGTCCAAGGTTCTAGCTCCCTTACATTGCTATGGGGATGTTTGTGATTAGGAGTTTACAATCAGCCTAGTTCACACCAGCTTCAAGGGTGCTGCACATTACTTTATGTTTCAATTTTATTAAGGCGATTCCATTCATCTGAGGCCTCTAAAAACTTGCTTCTTTCAACCAAAGATATATTTTCCTCACAGCAGGATAAAAAAAAAATCTGAAAAAAGAAGTATAGACACATCCTGACATCTAAATATCTTTTCCAGGGCCTTCATAACCATCAAGTGCCAATCTATGGCATATTTATTGACTGATGGTTCCTTTATTGTTGATAGATGATCCTAAAAGGCAGAAGCTATCTACCATTTCAATTTCTCCATTGTCAGGTCTAAGACTGGTTGCTGTACCTGTTGTCATTAGTTTGATCTTCTTTATCTTTAATTTTAGTCCTATTTTTTCACCGTGCTCTTTGATCTTTATTACTAGCAAATTATTGGCAGCCATTTATATCTTTATTTATACATACATAGACACATACAATTTCTATAGCCTCCCAGCTCACAGCAGTGATTCTGGGTGGCACACAGAGGATTAAAACCAACAAAATACAACAAATAGACACATAAGTAGTTTCATGATGAAACTTCTGGCTTTTTTCTCTCTGCTGCCAATCCACTTGAAAGTATTTCAACACCCCCACCCCTGCTGCTCATTCCTCTTATACCTTCAGGGAGTTGGCTCCCAGCAGGGCACTGTGCTTCAGGAAGAAGACCTCATGCTGTCTTCTTTTTACCACAAACTCATCAGTAGATGTTCTGCAAACAGAGGCTCCCCCATCCTATTAGGATAAAGAAATGCCAACTTTACTGCAGCCACTGGGTTGCAGTTGGTTCAGGTGACATTTGCCAAGCAGCAGCAATGTGAGACCCAAAGAGCAGAATTGGATGTATCAGACTCTCCACCTTACTGCAGCCTATACAATGGAAGACACTGACCACTGACAGTGTTGAATTAAATTCAGCTGCCGGTCTTTGAACATGGAATGGGAGAAAGTGAAGCTGTGTTCATCATTTCAGGCACCCAAAGATCCTAGCTCACCCCATTCTCATGTCTTTTGCACTGACTATTGGTTGTTATACTAGGATGGCTAATATTCACTTCCTGATTTCTTCTGTTACTTCCATAGTTTTTGGATTAGACTACTATAACAGTTCCTGATTACAGTCTGATAGGTACCCTACTCTGGTTTTGCCGACTTCTCTGAAAAATATGGTTGAGTAATTTGTCTTGTTCTGATCATGCTATCTCGCTAACACAGGCTTCCTAAGGCTGTCAGGACACATACACAATACTAATGCATTGTTTTCCTGACAACATTGGAATTGGGTTTTGCTTATTTGTTTTTAATAAAGCGCAACTGACTTCATTTTTCCACACTGCTGCACAATCAACACAATCTTCTTTTTGCCATGATTCCTTATTCTCCTCCATCCTCCACATTATATTATTACTATATTCTAATACCTCTGAAAGCATGTTGTTAAATTCAGTGAAATGTTTCCCTACATACATCATCTTTTGCAAAGATACAGCCTGACCAGTTAAGTCCAGGTTCCATGGTTTGAGCCACGAACAATATCAACCTTAATTGATACTATTCAATGGACCTGTATTCCATCAGAGTGATACAATATCTTTCTCAAACTTATACCTTGCCAATGAAGCCAATTCCCACTTCACTCTTCAGCCTCAAGACACTTAGCTTAATGAAGTGAACAGCAACATTTGCACAGTAAGATGCTATTAGTATTTCAAAATCACTCTGAGCTGCAACATTTAAAATATTATAATAGATACAAACTTATTAAAGAAAGCAGTGGTTTTTAACAAAAATACTGATTGTCAAACATCACATAGATAATATATTTTCTTTCCCTTTCACCTAATTGCCTTTAAAATAAATAAATAAAACACAACACTCTCACCTCCTATATCTGGCCTCAATTTGTTGTCATACCCCTCCAGCAGGCCATTTAAAATGAGGGTAACATCACTCTCATGGACTTTGGGAGTCAACACCCAGGTTTTGTTGGTTGTATAATCTTCATAATCATCATCACTTTTTTGGCTAGTACTGTTTAGAAAAAATAAAGGAAAAGAGTACTGGAGTCATGTACCTGGAGAATGTCACAATTACATTCTTTGACAGCTCCATAAGAATCCATCATGACTAAAAAAAAAAAGCCCTCCCCTTTTTAAAAGATAGCATTTCTGAACACCATACTGAAATGAATTTATAGGAAAAAAATGACAAGAGGGAATATAATTTTTATAACTGATGTTTAAGTTCCATCGCAGCAAATGTTCTAGATTAATAAAAAAAAGTAGGCATATTTTCCATCTTTTATCCTATGAGTCTTTTAAATGTGTCTGTTTTGCAGGCTCACATAAAATGCTTGGAACAGACAACATATTAAAAAAATCAGTGGGTATGAAGAAAAATATGTATAGCACAATCCATGATATAGCAAGAATGATCCAAGTATAAAGTTAAAACATAACATCCAATCATATGTCCTACTTTGTTAACAAAACAAAATGATTTTTAACCTTAGCTTGTTAGGCTGCTCTGTATTAAATATGTTTGTAAGTCCTGTATTAAATTAAATGCACAAGATACTTTAGAGCCCTCATTTATCTTTAAAAGAATCACATTAGTTCAGAATCATTTATAGATAGTTTAATATATGATTTGTGCAAAAGTAGAAAAATGATAATAATCCACTGTCGTGAGATTCATTTGATCACTTTACTGCTGAATATATCAAATATTAAAGCATATAGTGAATACAATAATTGGAAAAGTAGGAATTAGTGTATGTTTGACATAAGCAAGATACAGCTGATATCACTGAGACATCATAGTGTGCATGGAAAGCGATGTTTAACCAGGTAACCAAGGTCAAAAGTCTTTACAACTGGAAAAAAACTAATTTGCATTTTAATCCTCCAGTGTTGAAAGCCATTTATACCACATAAGCCACCTCTGAGTTAAGATAACACACAAGGGACAAAGCTTATAGTACATTTGCATAGTTAGCAAAGTGAATAGTTGGGTAAATAAGA